ACCCAGGGTAGAGCTGCAGTCCATATCCAAAGGCCGTCTGCTGGCAGAACTGCCCCTCCTTTCAGTGAGGTCAGGCTTTATCTGTTTAGGCCTTCAACTGATTGGATGAGGCCCACCCACACAAGGGAGGGCAATCTGCTTTACTCAAAGTCCACTGATCTAAATGTTAATGTCATCTAAAAATACCTCCACTGGGACATCCAGAATAGTGTTTGACCAAATATCTGGGTACTGTGGCCCAGCCAAATTGGCACGAAATTACCGATCATGCCCTCCGAGCCCTGCTAACGTCGGAGGGTAAAGCCAGAAAGGCCGGGTCAGAAAAGAGGTGAAGCAGAGCAGGCATTCACGGGCACCCTGCAACCGCCCCCTTCCCCTCCCCTCGGCACCAGAACCATCTGACAACAGACTGCCCGAGAACACTACACGTGACTGCAAGCACCTCTCCTGCACGGAATGCAGACGGCCCACGCTGGGACCAAAAGCCGAGCACATACACTGTCCCGGCCACTCACCTGCCCATAACTAGGAGTCCCAAAGGCACAGCAGGTAGAGCAGCCTGACCAGGGGGAGTGTGACCAGAGTTGAACATTCAACCAGACCAGGGTGCCAGGTGACCCCGCCTCCGAGCTCCAGAAGCATCCATAGTATATCCGGAGGATGCCTTTGCTTGGGGGGAATTCACTCTTTCTGTGTGATCGCGTATCATCCCGCAGCTAAGAGAGATGCTCCCAGCTGTTTGGGATGATGAAAAAGTTCTGGAAATGGATAGTGATGATGGTTGCACAACACTGTGATGTGCTTAATGCCACTTAAAGGTAAATTTCACATTACATACATTTCACCACAATAAAAAAAAAAAAACGATACGCTCCTTCAGGATAGGCCCACAAGACACAATACAAATTTCATCCCTCAAAATCCTCGAATGACAGTTTGCCAGATTACCTCAGACTCGTGGCCCCAGTCCTACAGGCAGCAGTCTCCTTCCCAGGGCAGTGTGGCTGGCCTCATTTGATTGTTCCTCGGCCATGAGCACTGCAGGCTGGCACCGTCACATGCTGATTCGGTATTCAGTGTTTGGTGCAGGGGGAGACCCCAAGGTAGACACCTTGGATCCGAGGGCTTTTGTGGAGAGTAGGCCTGCAGGGAAGCTCTACAAACGCCAAGTGGGGGACCGGCCCCACCACGATCAAGGCCTCTCATACAAGATTCTGGAAGGAGGGCTGGAGGAGAGAGCTGAGGACAGACGAGGCAGCGCCACCTCGTCACGCGGGACAGCGTCTCCACGCGGGTGTGACTCTCTCTGCAGTGACCGCACCTCCTCTGATGGCTTCTTCCTCCTGGAAGAACTCCCTCCCTCCCTCTTGCACCCCCAGAAGTGAAACACATTAACTCCTTCATTTTCAGGGTGACACAGTTCACCTCTTCTCCCACACACCTCCCTACCGTCTCCTCATGGGTTAGATCACCCAGGACTCTTAACCACTTTCATGATTCTGAGATTCCTCTTCAGATGAATTCAAGAGTAGTGAACCTATAAAAGTACTGAAAATACCAGGGTTCCTCTGGACACCCTCCCCGTTAGCAGCAGTGTCTGTCGAACTGTGGGCTTTCCTTCCTCGCTCGGGTGCCCTTAGAGGAAGCACTCACCGCTTCTGAGGCTTGGAGCTCCTGGTCAGCTCTCACAATGACCTTTACTGGGACCACTTGAGAAACCACGACCCAATCTGGAATGTTTTTTTCCTCACTTAAACCTTGATCTAGAATCTTTCAAGCGGAGCTAATCCCCAATGCGGCCCGACCTCAGAAGCATGCAGTCCAGTCAGCAAACCTTACAGTCTTGGCCGAATGACACACTATAAAGCCGAAGCCAGGCCTTGGGTCTCTCCTGGAATCCACTGTCCCTTCCAGGTATCAGCTGTGTCCATGACAGGGTAACGGGAGGAAAGTTATCTGGTCAGCTTTGCAGACCCTAACTGGCAGGCCCCGGGGCAATTCTGTTACTGTGTCACACACAACAGCAAAGCCTCAGTGGCTCGCAATCACTTTTATGAGTTCGTGGTTTCAGGACTCGGCGATCCAGCCGGGACATCTGCCCACAGTCAGGGCGGAGAGGCCAGAGGAGAACCATGCACATGCCCTTTCCAACCCCTTCATGAGCCACGTCTGCAGGCCTCCCATCAGCCAGCCTCAGACCTGCTGCCGGCGGGAGGACAGCAGGGGGCGAAGGGCCACTTGGGCAGCAGGATGGCCACAGCCTCTTTAGGCTCAGCAACCGGGATCCTCCAGTGGAAAGTTATTTAGAAGAATTTAGTTGACAAACTAAAATGAAGAAAATGGGCTTGTGTACACCATCCCACAGGTGACGTTAAAACAGAGAAGAATCACAGAACCTTGCAGTAGAAGGGGCCTCACGGATTAAGGCCCCCCATCCTTTCACTCTACAGCTAAGGACACTAAGATCCAGGACAATTTGGGAGCCAGCTTAGTTCACACAGGAAGTAGCAGAGCTGGGCTTGTAGCTGGCCCCCAGCACTGAGGAGGGGGTCCCTAAACATTAGCAGCGCTGAGCCAACTCATCTGGGAAACAGGTGTGCACACCACTGCCCCCTGTACCTCACGGCTGGTGTGAGAACAGAGGAGATGCAGGTGTGAAAGCTCAGGGGTGGGAGGCTCCCCCTGCCCCTCGCCCCATGGCTGGATCTGCCTGGGCCGCTGCCTAACCAGGATTAGGGTCTGGGGGGCCAAGACAAGGGCCAGGATGCTAAAAGGACAACCGTCCCCAGGCCGCGTGGGTCCTTCTCAGACAGAGGTGTCCCTCCCTGCTTTGCTGCCACCACAAACACCTTCATCTCGACCAACGAACCGGGGAGGCCACGGAAGTCCTCGCTCCACCTGCCATGGGACAGCCTGCAGCCAAGTGTAGGTACCCCTTCAGCACCTGCGTGCACGGGGCTTCCAGTCGCCCCGGGCTCGGCGGAGGCCAGACTGCTTGGGACGGGGAGCTGCCAGCTTCAATCCTGACTTCTAAATTCAAACCCTCAAGCTTCACAAAGCTTCCTAGGATCAGAGAGTTTTAGAAATAAAAGGAAATTTCAAGGTACCATCCGAACCTTTTATCTGACAGATGGGGATTTTATAGGTTTCACAGAAACTAGGAGGAACCCGCACAGAGAGACAGAGAGAGAGACAGAGAGAGAGAGAGAGAGAGAGAGAGAGAGAGAGAGAGAGAGAGAGAGAGGGGCCTTGCAGGTAATGGTCATGACTCCTCGCTACTCGTCAAGTTTACAGTAAAAGGGAAGTGGTGGGCTTCCCTGGTGGTGCAGTGGTTGAGAGTCTGCCTGCCGATGCAGGGGACACGGGTTCGTGCCCCAGTCCGGGAGGATCCCACATGCCGCGGAGCGGCTGGGCCCGTAAGCCATGGCCTCTGAGCCTGAGCGTCCGGAGCCTGTGCTCCGCAACGGGAGAGGCCACAACA